CTGCAATCGAGTCATGGCATAGATTGTCAGAAATTATAGCCATACTTTTGTGTAAAAGATCACTATTACTCTTATAATAAATAACAACTGTGAACACAGTTGCCTGATTGTTATTCCAATGAAATGATTGCGTGGAATTTTGAATCACGAAAGCATAATTTTCAGCAAAATCCATACTAACAATAAATTCGCCGACTTCAAGAACTTTCTTTAAATTGTGTACAAAAAGGGATTGTTGTTTAGCCAAAAAGTCGTGGGTTTTAAATTTCATTAATTTTTCGGCAAATATATCGACGAATTCATGTGTATTGACTAACTGCGAAGCAATTGTACATCTATCAGTTTGGAACCAATTATCATACTTCACTTCAAAAATACCATTATTAGAGAAACACTCTAATAGGTGCTCACGTAATTTACTACTGTTGGGACAATCTAAACAGTCTCCAAAAAAGCACTTTTCTTCTGGTTGGCTGCAAACAATGGATTTTACGCAGCTTTGACAGTCTATGAAGGATAATTGAGAATTTTTCGTCAGATCATCAATACCAGCAGCATCAAACATGAGCTTCATGTTCTCATGATGAACGCATACACATACATTGTGAGTCCCACTGGAATCGGCTAAAACACATTGTGGAGGCCTCAACTGCGTGAATTTCGTGAATCCTATTTTCACCGTTGGATTATGTTCTTGAAACGTATTATAAATTTCTCTCAAATTTCCAAGGACCAGTCTTTTCTGGACGTGCTTACGGGTGCCGTTTTCCTGCTTCACAGAGACAAAATCCTTCATGTCAGGCATAACATGACTTACATCATCACTGTTATAAAAATCTTGGACTAAAGAAATGGTATCATCCGCAAGAACTTTACCTTTCTTTTTTACAGGTTCTGGAAGTAATCCCTTTTCGGCAAATAGCTTTTTCGATAAACGAGCTTCGTAATTAGAACAACCAAATACTCTCTCTAAATCGCTAATTGACCAAAATTGTGGAGCTAGAGTAAGAAGTGAAATTCTCTCACCACTTGACTTTAATTCTAAAAACTTTTTTTTCATGTTATTGAGAACTGCGATGCCCGCTGCGTGATAATCCAATTGATCATGATGTATCTCATCGTCATTATCATTAACGGAGGGAACAACATCATCTGTTAATTTACGTTTATACATTTGAGATTTACAACCAGTACAGATTCTTGCTGATTCTGGAATTGCTGAATATTCAGCTCTTTTAGTTGGTGGAAATTTAACCAACTGTTTTGTGTGTTTGCTTAAATTTAAAGGATTGATGCACTGTGACTTGAAAACTGTATCCATTCTAATAGTTTATAATGTAAACAAACAAACGAACCTAAAAATTAAATAAGTTACTTTTTATTAAAAAGACAACTTCTGAACCTTCAGTTGTACTTACCAAATTTTTTCAAAATTCAATAAACTCCACAAAGAATAGCAAATTCACAAAATACATTATTCAAGCAAACAAATCTCAGAATTATTTGATGCCGTAACCTTTATCACGATTAATAGAGTTATAAAATTTTGCTGCTGTAAATGAACTCAGAGGAGGAGAACCGCGCCTGATATCAACACTATTATTGATATGTCTAAATAATTATTGTAAAAAATAATACTGTATTAACATCAACTAATAATTTAAGGCTAAAGAAGCAGACTTCTCGGTTCGGTGGGTCACAAATTGCTATATATAGCACGCATGCAGCGCCGCACCGCGCCCCACCGGCCAGGCCGTCCGTCGCGGCGGCACGAGAGCATAGACTTTGACGTTAGATTTCTCGAATAATATAATAGTGGACACTCTGAAAATCACTATACCAACGTAAAAAAACCTCCTCTTTCGTTTTAGATAATAAAAAAAAAGATTCGAGACACCCTTTTGAAGATATAACATGTTTTATATTTTTTTGAGGTTATGTTGACTTTTTTTTGTAATTTTAATAATTTCATTGAAAAGCTGACGTTAAAATACGTCGGAAATGCTTACTCCGATTTATCTTCCTCATTAATTTGATACTGTAATCAAAGCATGAAAAGTGGTCTCGCGCGCAGCCTGTGCGATTTGACGTGAAATGCCTCATATACTGTCAAAATAAATGCACGGCTGCATCGTGATACATTACTCCTACTACACAAGCAGTCGGATAGTGCCACCAATCTTAACACAATCTCTTGTTGTAGGAAAAGCACATGCATGTTTGTATAATGATATTGAAAAACAAAAAACATATATTCCAAAATTAGTATTTAAGCATCATATACGTATAGAAATGTACCATGAACAGTAGCCTACGAGAAAAGAAACTTCTTATTATATATGTAGGGATTCTCCGTCAACCCGACAAACCCCGCCCCCATCCAAACTCACTTATTGAGATAAATAATTGATTTTGGGCTTGAAATTCTCGGTTGGACATCTTTTTTTTAGTGTCGTGGGGAAATTTTTGACCACCTGACTTCTCACCCCCTTGCCCCTCAGAAACCACCCCTACTAACTCAAGTAAGTTAACCATACACAGGACAAAACTTAAAACATTGGATAAAGTTGTTCATTTTTCTTCAAACAATAAAATACCACACCACAATCTTGCCGTACAACCTAATTATCCAACCCTTAATCAACTCAACCCCTTCAAACCACCATTACCAAACTACAAGCAGGCTAATCTACCTGACCCTAGGCTGAGCTAGTTTATTTACTCATTTTTCTTCAACTAAGAAACTGCAGCAACTGCAGCCTTTGGACGTGTTAAGGATAATAGCTAGCTTTAGCTCGAGTTGTCAGTATCCTCACATGTGTACACGTGTGCTGAAAAGCGAAAACTCAGGTGCTCATTGGATCCACGTTACTAAGAATCACTCTTCGATTTACGCTTGTTATGGAACAAGCTTCAGGGATTCTCGTACGGATGGGGAGCAGGTTAGTTCGGTATATTCAATAGATGGATTGAAGTGGCTGAGATATTGTAGTGAGTAGCTTTGCTACAAAAATGGAGCTGGGGCTCAAACTGATTAACTAAGGATTTGCTAAGTATTGAACCATGACCACCGTCAAAAGCGGGTGCATTAATTTGACTTTTAGGTGCGCTTTTGTGACATCAGTTATACGCTGATGTGCCAACACACGGGTGCTGGCTTGGCTAGTTGAGCCAAGCCACGTTTATGACACTGTCTACCATTTTTGCTTCGAGCTTCAATTTCCATACGTACAGTGCTTTAAGTCGGCCTGATCTACAAAAGAAGTACCAGGCGCAAGCAGCGCCTCATTCTGCATCAGAACTTTTAGTTGTAAAGCGGTGCCTAAGGTATAGAGCATTCTTATCCACCTACCACTTTAACTGGCAAGGAGCCATCTTAGCCACTCCAATTTGACACAGTAACGTCAATACATGCACCTCGGAAGCCTTTTCAACCTTTTCAGCTGTATTGAATAAAACGGTTAAGTATATTTGATAACTGACGTCTCGTTCTTTCACTCAAGTTCACCTGTTCTTCCCCAAATATATACATACATTATTTTGTATATACAAAAGAGAAAGAGAGGGAGAAAGAGAAAGAAGAGGGGGGGGCAAGAGGCTTAGTGGCTCAAAACAGAAAATGGCTACTGCGGTCACGTTCTCTTTCCTAGCTTGTGCATGGCGCCTTTTCTAGCGTTGTAATTTGTGCCTAATCTAGCTAAGTTGAACTCTATAGAGACAACGGTGCTGCAGTTACTGTAACCCAGTTACACCTCTCATACATACAAGAGATAATAAATTTAATGTTGACCTAGTCGACCATTGAACGTTACAACTATTCATATCTAATTTTTTATTCTGATCTATCTCGTGTTCTTAGTTCAAACACCAAATTTCCGAGCATTATTGGAGCCATTTTAAAATGCCCTAGCCTTCTTCTGTCGTTGACTTGTCCTTGCCATTGCGTCCCAAGCCCAACCTTTTAACTTTTTTAAAAACTTTTTCTTTTAAAATCAACACATCATGCAGATTTGAATATTTATTTCTCCTAAGCATCTCCCTTGGTGTACGTTAAGGTGTCCCAGCTACCAACAAGCCTCCTCGGCGCAGTAAAAGTGTACGGAATTTATAGCCTGTCAAGATAATAATTCTATATGTGCAGCTGGCTTACTGGCACCAAGGGCCTGGGAACGTACTTCAGATCAATAGCTATGCAGTTATTTATTTTATGATAGCATTTTATTACCATAACCTTATGTTACACCACATTGTTCGTCGAACTTGTTTGTTCTAGCGTTTTAATCAAGGCCTTTACCGAGAAATCCCTTGTATATTTATTTTATATGAAAAAAACGATTCAAAATTAATTCGTCAAGCAAACTCAGATGTGCGTGCATCTAGGCAGTTTCTTATAATTAACATTAATGTTTTACAAACTAGTTGAGTGACAGAACAGAAGTAGAAAGAGAAGCAGGCATCGCCGTTGCGGTTTTCTTCACTGCTACTTACGCGCAACCTTAGTCGAGTTAGATGCCACTCTGATTTTGAGCACTGTTGGACTGACGCACCAAGTTAATTTTAGCATTAATAATAAGTGACTTTATAGATAAATACACCAGAGTTTATAACTCCTTTTAAGCATAACAATAGGCACGATCACAAATTTAAAACAGTCTGTTAATAATTATAAGTATTGTTGTGTCATGAACATCTGATTCTATTCGATCTGGGGAATAACTTCAACTTTATTTAGTTAGTTGTGTGCCTTTTAATACATTCAATAATTTTGCGTAGAAAAGTTACAGTATGATTATTTTAAATCTTAACTTTATCATTTACTGTATTTCTGTAGGTCTCGGGTATACTAGGAGTATAATAGTGCATGATTGTACCATTACATGTAGCTTTACATATTGTACACCTTGAAAATGTATTTCTTAATTTACTCTTAATATAAGTTTCTCATTTCATAAATGTATAAAAATGAAAATTTTAAAATAAACTATGGCTTAATTTTACAGCGTATCATACAAAATGCATCGATCCTTGGCTAACAAAGAACCGTCGTGTCTGTCCAGTTTGCAAACGCAAGGTTTTTGCGTCGGATGAGCGTGTGGAGACGGACTCAGACAGCGATTCTGATGGGATTGATGACTCTACACCTCTAATTCGTGATGCAAGCAGAAGACCCACCACCCAAGGTGGCACCTTCGAGCCTCAATCAGACAACCCATTTAGATACCAGTTACATAACAGAAATCTCCAAGAGCAGCGACGTGACTCTCAGAACTCAGGTGACAGCAGCAGCTATTTTACGGAACCACCTAGCGTGGGTGTTTCGTCTGACGGTGATGATCAGATTACTGGTGACAAACAAGCAGTTGAGCATATCCAAATTGAGGTCGAGACATCTACAAATGTTGTGATGAGCAAGCAGGTTGCTTCAAATAAAACAACTTTTGTGGCTTCCAAAAGCCGCAGCCTAAACGGTTTGTTGTCATAGAGCGCGTTTACACTAACGTAAAAGCTTAAGTACTTCATACTGATTAGGCTTTTTTTGATACTGCATTTAAAATAAAAGAAGTCTTAAGTTATTGGCTTAAGTTTGAGTTAAATTTTTTAACAATAAAACACAGTTAGGGACGTACTTGACTCGTTAACTACTTTTATTTTCATTCCATTCACCTTAATAGCTTGGCATACTAGCGCCAAATTAAATGTGATTTCTCCTTATGGCATTAACTCTATCAATAATCTCAACAATAAATTATTGCTGAAACATTGCTGAATCAAAGTTGAATCAACAGCCAATCCATGCTGAGTTACCACTGAATAAACATTAATTTTGTAAATAACGGAACACTGACATCAGTCGTTATTTACATCGTTAATCAAACTTTAATTTAGTGTTAACTAAGCATTGATTAATAGATGATCCAAGTTTGGAGCCAAGTATTTTATCCACTTGGCCAAAATGAATCTCATGGCTGGAAATTAATTTACGTTTTCACAAGAAATTTTTACTTTTACTTTTGACTTTTTTTACTTGGTTTCCGGATTCTTTAAAAAATAATAATTAGTAATCAGCAGTTTTAACACATTCTTACAAGTATATTTTTTACTTCTGGTCATATTGTTCTGTTTATAAGGAAAAAACTTAGGAATTAGCATTTTAATACTTATAAAGTAGAACAATGGAAAATAAAATTCAAAAAACGCATGTAAATATGCCTAACTACTGCTTATTACCAATTACTAGTATTGAAAAAATCTGGAAATTAAATAAATAATAAAAAATTATGGTGACAGTAACGTTAATTGATTCTGTGCCATTGGATTCCATTTGGCTCAGTTAATAAGATACTCAACTTTGAACTTAAATAACTAGATTCAAGCCAGATTTGGTGGTAGAGCGAACTTATGGAACTGAATTTTATTTTTAGATTTTTGTTTAAAATAGGTCTTTTTATGAATTGTGAAGTAATTGATTATTGCTGAAAATTTTTCGCTATTTCTGTAACTATGCCTTAAGTCATAATTTTTTATGATGTATTTGCACGTTTTATCAAATTTTGATATACAGGTTATTAAGTTTATTTTTTTTCATATATAGTCGCTTACTTAAAATAATTAATTATTATCAGCCATTTATAATCTTTTTAACTTTATTATAATGCTTAATTAACGATTTAAATGACGATAAATTTCAGTGTTCCTTTAATTACGGATTTAATGTTAATTTGAGGTTGACTTTGTATTGATTGAGCGTTAATTTTACTTCAAAATTCGCGATGATTCAGGACTGATTAAGGTTTTCGATGTGAAATAGTAAGAAGTTATTTCCAAACTTAAATATCTAGCAACAAATATTTTTTATTAGAAAATATCTTTGTATACAAATACTAAAATTATAGGTTTTGGTCTTGAAATATTTAATTATTTTGTTTGACTAACAAACTTAACCGTCATGTTTAAATAATAACCGCTTTTTATACTGTCTTTTGTATCTGCATTTAATCACTCAAAAGTTTTACCTCAAGTATGTTTAACATTAACTTCAACGCTAGTGAGGTAGGCTTCTAAGGTGAATATTTCTCTTACTATACAAAAATTTTCAAAATTATTTAACTGTACTTATTTACCATACATGCCTAGAATTTATCATCCGTCGTATTTATTGAGCAATGACGTTGTTTAAACTTTATTTTTTGTTAACATTGATTAGGTTTTCATCATCTTATTTTTTTAGGTGGAACTCCGGATTTTGACACTTCAGTTGATACTACAAGACCGTACACAGTAAGTCTTTCGGTGGAGGTGGATAATGATATGGTAGCGATTACTTATCCTATGAGAACATCCGCTGTAATTGGTACTGTCACTCATCCCCCAACTTCTGATATTCCAACAACATCCAAAGACAATGTTAACATAGTATAGTTTTATGTATAATATTGTAAGTTGGTGTTTTCGAAGAACTAAAATATTACTTTCCTAATTTATTAAGAATCTGTCATTTACAAAATTCAATGTTACTTTCAAGTGAACTTACATTTTGAAAGAACTTGATTTAACTGATTAGTAAGAATTTGTGACCCGTTTTAACATTTAGTAACCAGACATTTCTTACGGTACAATACATACTCATCATACGATGCATTAAGATCTTGCAGAAGTAGAGACTGTGTATTAAAACAAAAATTTATTATTACGTTAAAATTTTTTTAACGAAAATTAGTAAAATAAGTCAAGTGTAAAAAGTCTTATAAAACTTTTAAATAGGAAAATTCACTAGCATTCGTTTATTACGGAAATTAAAAAATTTAAATTTAGGTATACATGAATTAATCTAATGTTGGAAACAAACAAAATGATTGAATACATTACGTTATGAATAAGAAGATTTTACATGATTACGAGACAAAGTATGAAAGTAATTGTGAATTCAGTAGATTTCTTTGTTGTCGCTTCAAAGCCTGTGATCTAGGGGTGTAAATATTACATTGCATCGAAATGCAGTGAGCATATTTATTTTTTTTGTAATTATATGTAAATGTAAAACATATGCGTACCAAGTATTAAATTTGTTTGTAACTTATGTTAGCACAAAAAAATTTTTTTTACTGTATATCTGGAGTATATAACTAAAAAGCTTTTAAAATTTTATAACTATGTGTAATTTTCTGTAATGTTTTTGACAGTGTGTATCCTTACTCAGTCAGAAATTAGAAAGTGTCTTGTAATTATTATAAAATAAATTTTGGTAAACTATAAGTTTGTAGTTGGGCACATAAAAATTATTATTTATATTCGATCATTTTAGTCTTATAAAATTGACAATCTGTCTGTAAATATAAACGTTATCTATTTGTCATATGTATAGACTAGTGGGGCTGATGCCTCCTGTGCGCTCCAAGCGCCAACCCCCCACTAAAAGATTGAGTAGAAAAAACAACAACATTACTCGTGTAATTATCAATGCAGGCCGAGAATGAGTTTACAACAGCAGAAATATATATCATTTTATATACATAGATTTGGTACAGATATCTTTCTATATTTTATAATTGTAAAGGTTTTAAGAAAGTTTTTGCTTCCACCCGATCCTTCTCATCTCCACCTCAAATAACGTAGTTTTTATTTCATTTTTATTGTATATTTTGATTAGCTATAATTTTATGCTGGCTCTCCCTTGCTTCACAACCTCTTCTTTGCCTCCTATCCCGGCTCTTGTCAGACTCTCCCTACCCTTTTTCTTCGCCCACGCTCCTAAACAAATAAGTTCTTGTACCTGCAGGACTATAGGAGCCACTCTATCCTCTTCTCTGTCTTTAGAGACAAAATACGTAAAAAATGCCTTTCTTTTGCTCCCCAAATGAGTAATATACTATTTTCTTCCATTTTTTTGTAAAGTTTACGGTAATAACACAGCAAAAGAAAAAAGTTTTTGATAAAAAGCCCTCACTATGTATTCTATACGTTTTCAAAATTGCTGATCTCAACGTTAGAAACTTTTGCGTATACTTACGATCCCTTGAAATTAACTAGTCTAGGTTAGTTACTTAAAATTTAATGTTAAAAATATAAAAAACACACAAGTAATGATCATGTCCGTAATGTTCAAATGTTTTCGCAATAGTGTGCGGAAAATAGGTGTTTTTCGCACACCTTTTCTCACGCTATGTGGAAAAATCGATTTTCCACACTGATATCGGTGCAAAAAACACCTATTTTCCGCACACTCATTGCGAATAAGCTTGTACACAACTCGTGTGGGATGATTTCCTGCACTCGTGTGATAGACTCACACTCGTGGCCGGTGACGGTAACTCGTGCCGTGCGATCACACTCGTGCTACGCACTCGTGTGCTTAACTGGCACTTGTTCCCGTCAACTCCGGCCACTCGTGCGAGTCAATAACGAATTGTGCGGGAAATCGTCTTTTCCGCACTTGTTACGTAAATAACTGTTGTAGTTTAAGTTTCATGAAGTATCTTTACTTATTTTCATTACACGATTAGAAACGGCTGTTTAAGTGCTCTGCTCTTACCCAAAATTTTTAATAATTTTTTTCTTAACATTAAGTTCATGAATTTTAAAATGCCTTTGTAAGTGATGAATTCTTTACAAAGAAGAATCACATATTGTTATACAATTGTAGACACGATAAATTTTTTTATCATGTTTTGACTTTTTTGTGATAAAAGTAATTTTTTTCATGTTATAATTTTGCTTGAGTCACAAACAAAGAAGTATATTGTAAATTTACATACATATTCGCGTCAGAAGTTTAAAATTGAAAGAAAAAAAATACACATATCTATATGTATACATACACACACCCACACATGCAAGCGCGCGCACACACACACTCATATATATATATATACATATAAACATACCAATGAATTTTAAGTAATTAAAGATTTACGGAAATAACTTTCAAACTTTTACGCCGGGGAAGACGCGCGAAGCGCGCAGGGGGGTGGAGCCCCACTAATATATACACGGGGGACGGCTGACACAACAAATTTTTATTTATTCTGACATTACGATTGAATATAACCGTTTAAATTATTTTAGAAATGGTCAAAAAAATTTTAAAATAGAATGTTATCAAGGTTTATTAGACCCAATTGTTAATAGTGCATCGAACATTTCTAAAAATTTTGAGACAAAGGAAAAAACTGAAAATCTTTTCATACTCTTATCTACATACATTGGAAGTCCAAGATATATGCAGAAAGATTATCAAGATGCAGTGTCGTTAAAAAGGAAATGTGGTAGACCAAATTATTTTGTAAAAGTTACATCTAATCCTAAATGGAAATACAGGACCAAATAATATTCGAATCACAACTGTTAGACTATTTCACTTGAAATTAATGTCAGTTTTGGATGACATCATGTAAAATAATTTATTCGTTAAGACATTAGCATACGTCTATACCATCGAATTCCAAAAACGTGGTCTGCCTTTTGCACACGTTTTAATAACTTTGCATCCCGACAAGAAAATTACTACACCTAATCAAATAAATGTAATTATTTCAGCTGAAATTTTTTCTGGTTGTATGAAACTTACAAAATTAGGGTTGAAACACGTGCTTTATGGACCTCATACATAATAAAGTCTTTGTATGATTGATAAAAAATGTAGAAAAATTTTCCCAAATCTTTTACAAACGTAACTTCATTTCAAACAAATGGTAACTCTAAATATAAAAAAAAAAAAAATACTTCTCAACAATAGGTTTATAAAATTTGGAGAAAAGACGAAATTTTAGTAGATAATTTAATGGTCGTACCGTGTAATAAATTTCTGTTAGTGAAATATAACTGTCATTTTTAAGTTGAATTTTGTGCATCTATTTAAAGCATAAAATATATTTATGGCTATATACATAAAGGTAGTGACAGAGCACACATCGAAATTCAAAGATTAAAAGACCAAGATGAAGAAATATTTAATGAAATTAATAGTTACGTTGATTCTAGATATGTAGGTCCAATGGAAGCAGCTTAGAGATTAGAAGAATTTCTAATTTGCAGTAGAAGTCATACAGTTGTAAATTTAGCTGTTCACCTTGAAAAACAAACAAAAACTGGTCTTTAAAGAAAATAATATTAAAACTGTTATGGATAACTACGAGACACAGTTAAGAGCAGCAAAAACATGATGACTTTGCAAAATCCATAAAGTATGTAAACATTTCAAAATACTTAATTTTTAATAATAAATGACAAATTTGGCAAAGAAGAAAAAATGAACTAAAAAATATTGCATCAGGTAGATTAAACATTGTATTTTCGAAAGATCACAAAAGATTATTTTTTAAATTTGTGTTACATAAAATAACTGATTCGATACCGTTCAAAGATACTAGAACAAATAAAAGAATAACTTGTAAAACTTTTATAGATACTGCAATTGCAATAAGTTCAATAGACAATGATGAAAAAACGATGATATTTTTAAAGAAGCAATTGCTGTTATGTTTCCATACAAAGTAAGACAATTTGTTGCTTAGTTTTTCATTTCAGAAAACGTTCAAGGTGATAAAATATGGAATAAGAACAAAGAATTTCTTAAGGAGGGTTTGCCTAATGAAGAACATTATTTAGCTCTATTACATATTAACCACTTTAGAATTAGTTACTAACATTTTAGAATTAAACGATAAATCATGTAAATGCTTTAATTCATCTACACCAAAAAAAATGGAGAGTAAAAAAGAAGATACAGATGATAAAATCTGTTTTAGTAAAGAAATGTTTAACTCGATGTATAAAATTTTGAATAATTACCAGAAAAATATATTTCATATTATTTTCGAACAAAAAAATTATACTTTCTTGATAGATAGTCTTAGAGGGTTGGGGAAAACTTATTTATGTATAACGTTAATGTCCTTTTTTATTCCTCAAAATAAAAAAATCATGTCAATGGCATGGACTGCTATAGCATCAATTTTGTTTCCAAAGGGAATGACCAGTCATAGAACTTTGAGACTTCCTTTAGATAATAACAATATAGAGAGTGCATTTTTAGAATCTGAGTCGGATGAAAAAAAATTAAGAGAAGTTGATTTAATTATTTGGGATGAGGATTCAATGATTCAAAAAAAAGCATTGAAAATAGTAGACAGAATGTTAAGAGATTTATGTTCTACTGAAAAATATTTTGGAAATAAAATAATTATTTCAGAAGGTGATTTTTGTCAGATTCACTCAGTGATAAAAAATAGTAATAGAAAAATTATAGTTGAATAAACTATTAAATCTTCATTTCAACTTATTCCGAATTTTTAAATTAGAAATCAATATTTGTTTTAACGATACAGAATTTTTAAAATTATTATTAGAAATTGGGAAAGGGAA